TTCGAGTTCCATTTGACGACATTTCTGAACGCGATCGACTTTTTGATCAAACTTGCTCCAGCCGTGTCTAAAGAAATGTAAACAAACCACTGTCAATGATTTTTGATTCTCAACACTAGAGGCGTGCTAGCGGCTCGCGAAGGGCGTAAGAATTTATTTTAGCTATTCTGTTAATGGTTTTACAGTCAAGCAATTTCTTAGCGTTGAATTTAAGCTTGTCTTACATTGGCTGTATATCTTCCGTACAATAAGTTTTTCGCAATTAGCTATAGAAATCCTGCTCTTTTTTTGTAAGAACAGCCACTTCAGTTCCATTGAAGAACTAAACCGTCAAAGTCAAGAAGTTTTAATTCTGGAATTTCAATTGAAACATTGGCCAGCACTTTTTGCATCAAATAAATAAGTAGTATATGTGAAAGAGGACAGCCTTGTTTTGTGCCTTAACCACGTTTAAATTCCTTTCAATATTGAGATTCCCAAAATACCCTAGTCATCTAGTCCTTAACGCACATCAGAATTTTGTCCACTAATCTTGATGGAACATCTAATATCCCAGAAGAATATCATTGAGACTCTGCACCTTAAATGTATCGAAAGCTTTTCTTATATCTAGTGCTAAAACTATCAGGTCGTTGCCAGTATTCCAATTCTCTTCCATTATTCTTTTTGCTACAAAAATGTGATCATCAGTGGATCTTTTCGTTGTAAAGGCAGCTTGATGCAGTCCTGGCTCTCCCGTAATTTTTTTTAGTTGATTAGCAATCCATTTTGTCTAAATTTTATATGCTATATAACACAAAGATATTCTTCTGAAATGTTCTGCCTCAGTTGCTCCTGCTTTCTTTGGTATAGGTATTTGGGTTGACTTATACCATTTTTGAGGCATTTCATTTTCTATGTATACATTCTGAATTAACTTCACAAGTGTTTCTAATGTATCCTCGTCAGCGCCTTTGATATACTCCATAAAAACTTTACCTGATGCTGCTGATTTTCCATTACATGAAAACTTAATTATACTTCTTACTTCATAACTGGTCGGTGGATTTGGAAGTGGTACTTGATCGTGATCTTTGCACAGTTCTATCTGTGGACCTTCACTTTTCATCTATATATTTTCCCAAGTCTTGCAGTTATCATTGCATCCTTTCTTCTTTTTTTTTTTTTTTTTTTTTCCTTTGATTTGTTTTCCGTCGATCTTGTTTTCCGTGCTGAGCACCAATGCTACCGACGCCAGGGAGGCAGCTCCCACACCTGGACCCTACCTATCGACCCATCAACTCATGAACCGGAGACCAACGGCTTTACTTCCCTTCCGTAGGAAGGCGTGATCAGAGATGTTATGCCTCAGAACATCCCGGCGGCGCCGACTGGGATTGAACCCATCCCTGCTGGTCTAAGAGGTAATCACGCTTACCACTACACCACCGGCGCCGCTGTTTCTTCTTTTTCTTCTTCTTTCCTTTATTTAACGTCTGTCTCTGTTCCGCAATCTAGTGCCAATCACCGACGGACATCGATTGCCATCCATTGACGGCAATCGAATGTGCAGGAAGGCAGCGTAGGATATCGCACCCATTCAACACACATGGGCCGGGACCAACGGCTTTACTTCCCTTCCGAAGGAAGACGTGACCAGAGATTTTTATGCCTCAGAAAAATCCCACCAATCTCCGCTGGGATTGAACCCAGACCCATTGGGGTGTTAGAAAGCAGTCACGCTTACCACTACACCATCGGCGCCGGCTGCATCCTTTCTTCTTTTATGCTTAACAAATCCTTTCAAAAAATTGTATGTTTTTCTTAGCCTTTGTCCTACATCAGAGTAATTTAAATTTTTAAAGAAGATCATTCTTTCCTTTTCCTTATGCTCCTTGACAGCTTGACTGTATTTCTGCCTACGGTTGCCTAACCTGTATTTATAATTCAGCATATGTGGATGCTTAATAGAATTCTTAATTGCTACCCTTATATATCTAATGCTGGTTTTCCTTTTTGGAGTAGTAGGTTCCTTGGAGATTCTTGGAATTCTATTTAAAGATAATATTTCAGGAAAATGGATGCAATAAGGCTTGTACTTGAAAAAAATGCACCATTTTTATCCGTGGGTAAAAATTGATGAAAATCTGGGTATAACTAGTTTGGAGTGAATTGTTTACATGTGCAAAATTTCATAACAATCGGTTCAGTGGTTATTGAGATGCCATCGAAACAAGAAGAAAATCGCCGGAGAATTTTGCGCGCCGTCATGGAAAATCCAATTGCGACCATTAGATGGATCGGAAGACAACTGGGAATCACCCATACAACTGTGTCTCGGGTGGTAAAATCGTTTAAGGAGTCCCAGACGACCGAGCGGCGGGCTGGAAGTGGAAGAAAATCGAAGACAGCTGACCCTGTGAAGGCCTGGAAGGTGTTGGATTATTTCAAGCGTAATCCGAACCTTTCGATTCGTGAGGCGGCTTTGCAGGCAAAGTGTTCCACCTGGTTCGTTCAGCAAACCATGAAACGAGCTGGGCTTCGTGTATTCAAGTTCCGGAAGGCACCGAACCGGCGTGATCATCAAAAAACACGGCGGCCAAATCCCGCGCAAAGAAGCTGTATCGAGAGTGGTTAACGAAACCGATGTGTGTGGGTATGGATGACGAAACCTACATCAAGGCAGACGCAAAGCAGATACCGGGGCTGGAGCTGTACGTTTTCAAATCACGGTTTGATGTTCCGGAGGACATAAGGAAGAAGAAATTGGACAATTCGCCAAAAAATACTTGCTCTGGCAGGCCATATGCCAATCCGGTAAACTGAGTAAACCGTACATCACAATGGGTACCATCAACAGCGAAATTTACCACACCGAGTGCCTCCAGAAGCGTCTGTTGCCCTTCCTGCGGTCCCACGGAGACGAGACATTATTTTGGCCGGACCTGGCATCATGCCATTACGCGCGATCGACGTTGGATTGGTACAATGACAATAACCTTGTTTTTGTACCAAAAACCGCCAACCCCCCAAATTTACCAGAGATTCGTCCGGTGGAAAGATTATCGGCCATAAAGAAGGCCAAAGTTCGAAAATCGTCCAAGGTATTTAAGAACGAGCTGGAGTTGAAGACAGAATGGATGAAAGTGACCAAAAAGGTCGGCTCCACCATTGCACAAAATGTAATGAGGGGTCTTAAGGGAAAGGTGCGGGCTTTCAGCGATGGAAAAGAAATTGAATAAAGTAATGATGCCGAAACATAATCCGTATATGTTAGTTTATTCCCCGAAAATTTCAAGAAAATCCGACTTAAAATAAATTTTTGGCGAACACTTTTGTCTGGTGCATTTTTTTTTTCGAGTACAGGCCTTATTAACCTACTGTTCCCTTCTTAGGCCTATAAATGGATGCTTTTTTGGCCCCTCGAAAATATTCCAATAATCCAATTGTTGGTTGTTTTTGTTTTAATCACTTTGTGTTGTGTTGTGCACGCGACACAATTTTCTTTATTTCCACTTCATACATTAAATCAAAAACGTTCATCCTTAAATCTTAAAATTTGATTCTTTTCGTCCTGCGATCATATAATAGTATGCTGCACGCTGACGTCACGAATGAACGCGATGAACCCGCATTGATCAGTTTGACATCCAGTCCTGGTTTGGTTACTTTTGCTTGTTAGTCGATTCAAGTGGATTTGAGGTTTTAAATAAAAAGAATTAAAAGATATGACATCCGACTATGTACGATTGAAAAATATTCCTCTCCAAAAAATCTAAAAAAAAACATTGAATGATTTTTTTAAATTTTTTTTCTAAGTTTATGTAAACAAACCACTGCCAGATGTCAAAATAAGTGAGGTTAATCCGACAGTGCAGCTCCTTATAGCGAGAGGAAATAGCACCGGAAAGAACGGCAAAAATCAAACGAGATAAAAAAATGCATCAGTTTTCAAATGAAAAAAGAGGAAAATGTACTCAATTCGTCTCATTTGTAAGGGGTACGTTTGCAGGGGCCTCATAGCCTAGTCAGTAAAGGCACGGTATTACCAAGCCGGAGGCGGCGGGTTCGATTCCCGATCCGGTCGAGGGAATCTTTCGGGTTGGAAATTTTCTCGACTTCCCTGGGCATAGAGTATCATTGTGCTTGCCACACAATATACAAATTCATGCATTGGTATTGGCATCGAAAGCTCTCAATTAATAACTGTGGAAGTGCATTTAGAACACTAAGTTGAGAGCACACAATAATCTAATATGCGCTTAGCAATAAGCTTGAAAATGCGAATAAGAAAAAGACGTTTGCAGATCACAATTTGAAGTGGACAATGAAGGATTGAACCCAGACCCATTGGGGTGAGAAAGCAGTCACGCTTACCACTACACCACCGGGGGCGGCATTTTTTTCAAACATTGCCAATTGCTGTTACACATTTTACCAGAGACATCGGGTTTGCTGTCGAATTATTTTCGCTCAGACGTCAGTATGACCTAAAGCGATTATAATGCGTTTTCCAAAACCAATTGCAGGGTTTTTCACCTAGAATTACTAAATAGGCTACTGATCTATCAGGAAAGCTATTCATATAAATTAGTCTTAGTATAGCACGAGAAAACATGTCGTCGATATTATTACCCTGAAACGCCTATTGCACACAGTTCCCCTCTAATCTCTCAAAGTCCTCAAAGTCAATGCGCGTTGAGTGCTTCACGCTTGCGTTAATATGAAATCGAGCATTTAGACAAGAGCTTGACCTTGTACTCGAAATTAGACACACACCATGCTTGTATCATAAAAAAGTAAGTTTTTTTAATCCAAACTATAGTTCAATATTTTTTCAAGATAGAAGACGCTTTTACAAAACTTTTGGTTCAAAAACATCCGGTTTATGTTGCTTTATGATTTTTCCAGAGTTCAGCTTTGAAAAAAACCGTTTCAACTTGTCCCGATGTACCTTACCGCTTTGGATCTCAACTGTTCATTTGGAAACCTAGCTAATCTCCTTTACTTCTTTCCACCAGGCCCACTCCCTAAGGAACCATCGCCAGCGCTCATCACGTGGAAGTATGTCAACCAAAACGTCCACTGGAGCCTCATATTCCTACTTGGAGGAGGCTTCGCCCTCGCCGAAGCCGGTCGAGCCACCGGCATGTCAACTCTGCTGGGAGAGTCTCTGTCCGGTCTGCAGAGTCTACCGAAGCTGGCAACGCTGTTCGTCGTGTGCTTAGTAAGCACAGTGATCACCGAATTCACCTCAAACGTTGCTATCTGTAATATCATAATCCCGGTCTTGGCTGAATTGGTGAGCTCAAAAAGATACTGTAAATAGATTTATGACTAGCATTGACAAATTTCTCGTTATCAGGCAATCGTTATCAAAATTCACCCATTGTACCTTATGCTTCCGGCGACGATGTGCTGCAGTTATGCCTTCCACATGCCAGTGGGATCACCAGGGAATGCTATAGTAGCTGGTACTGCCCATATTGCCACCAAAGACATGGCGGTGGCCGGCATTGGTCCAGCGATCATCACTTTGATGGTAATGTGCATCGGTTTCCCTACATGGGGTGCCATTGTGTATCCGGGAATCGACACCTTTCCAGATTGGGCTATACAGGATGTTGATAACTCTTCCGTGTATTGACGTTGACTGAAGGGCAATGAATTATGAACCGTTTACTATTAGATTTAGTTGTCAATGAATTGAACAAAATATAAAACATTTCATATCACAATATTGTGCTAATAGCTTTTGGTATGTTTATCGGCACACCCTTCTTCTTCTTCTTCTTCTTCGCATTTCAAGCTTATTGCATATCGCATATTAGCTTATTGCGTGCTCTCAACTTAGTGTTCTACTACATGCACTTCCACAGTTATTAATTGAGAGCTTTCGATGCCTGTACCATTTTTGCATTGGTATAATTGTGTGGCAAGTCCAATCATACTTCTATGCCCAGGGAAGTCGAGAAACTTTCCAACCCGAAAAATTCCAAGGCCGGACCGGGAATCGAACCCAGCCACCTCCAGCATGGTCTTGCTTTGTAGTTGTGCCTTTACCGACTGAGCTAAGGGAGGCCCTACACATCTCTTATCAGTATGTCACACTATGTACTGATAAACCTGGTGTCGTTTGTCACCAATTGCATCAATTAGAGGTAATTTATTGTCGCTTCAAATGCCGATTGAGTGAAAGGCAATCATCCATTTGAAAGAGCTGTGATTTTTTTGACAGGAATAATCCATCGGGTGAGCAAATATTTAACGATGACTTTGTTTCGATTGCTCTCCGTTACGGGTTTTTGTTTTTCGGCACTAATGGTAAACGCGCAATTGGGAATTCTCAATAATTATGTTTGTACGGATGATTTTTGTGACGTAAGTAAATACTACCAACTGAGGACGTAAAGATGATCTGTGCAAGTTTGTTGATTTTAGACTTATCTCGAAAATGAGCCATGCGAGGTATTGAAGTCTCCATGCAAGGTACAAAATGCAACTCACAATGGAATCATCATGCCATCGATTAGTCCCTGCTCGTGTTGTCAGATGTGTATTGAAAACCTGAAGTTGGGAGATGATTGTTCCGTTGGAGGACTGGGATCACCGGTGCCAACCGGAATCTGTGGACCCGGACTGTACTGTATGGTAGTCGAAGGAGAGGAACATCCGACGTGCCAGCCAAGTATGTAATTCTTGTTAGTAGTGGTGGTATGCAATCAATTGAGGTACGTATGACGAGAGTGTTATTACAGTGAATGACTCAAGCGAGTGCTATAAGGCGCAAAACGAGTTTGATCAGCAACGACAAGACGGTACCATTGGGCATTTGATGCAGATACCGGAATGCGATGCGGATGGATATTTTGAGCCAGTTGTTTGTATTCCAGGACAAACGTAAGTCTGCTGCATTTGTTTTGCATTTTGAATATCAATTGCAAAATTCGTAATGTTTATTTTAGCTGTTACTGCATCGATGAAGATGGGAACCGGATTTTCGGGGATGCTGTCCACACTGCAAGCATTCAGATATCGATGAGATGCGGTAAATTGCGGCTTAGTTTTGTTTTTATAAACTTATCAAGAAATTATTTGCATTTCCAGAGTGCTCTCGTCTTGCTGCCAAAGCTCAAAAGCTGCTGAACTCACGCTACCCGATACTTACTTCGCGTTGCGATTCCAAAGGTTCGTTCGATCAATTACAATGTGTGGATGACATCTGTACCTGCGTTGATATGCATAGCGGTGAACCAACGTCGGACAGGAAGAACATAACCCGAGGACTAGCAGGACTTCCCTGTTGTATGTTATTATATCAAGTGTCTATTGCTGCTAAAACAAACTTGCTTAATTTCAGTCAATAAACGTCTACACGACAATTCGACCTTCCTTAGGGAGTGTGAGCTCATGAAACTAAATCAACTTAAAGAGATTCACGATTACGAAATTCTTGGATTCAATGTATTGGAATTCGATACGGATATCTGCGAACCGGATGGGTGGTTCAACAGGATTCAAGTGAATGACACACAGTGATTATCGGTTTTGCGATTGTTTTCAAACTTGTATAATACTTGATTTTCTATTAATTTTAGTAAATATTGCACAAATAAGGACGGCAGTGTCCTGGAACCATATGTAGTAAGTAGAAGCTCAACAGATGGGGAAAAAATGAACTGCAGTTAGTACATCATACGTTAACCAAGCATATGAATCATTATTTCAAAATTATACCAATTTGTAGAATGTGCCAGAGCCAGGCAGCTGCTCATGGACAGCAACAGTTTGGAACTTCCGGAGTGTTGTCCCAATGGAAGCTACCGGCCACTAGCTTGTCGAAGAGGGCAGTGTTATTGCGTTGATGAAGACGGAAATCAGCTGGGGATTGAAAAACCCGCCAAGCATAAGGATCAGCTGGAATGTTTCGATGCGGAAGACATTTGCGCTAACGCATGATGCCACTGCGATGAAACACGTTGCAGTCAATAACAAATGTAACAATGGTTCAATTAAGACAATACAGTTATTAATTGGTTTATTAACATGATAATTGTTGCAGAGTAGTGATGGAATCTTTTAAATTACGGCAAGAAAAATAAATGGCATGTCAATCAAATTTATTTCTTATATCCTCTTTCATTAAATACATGTAATGACAATACATACACCGGACTGTAGTGTACAGGAAAGTTTTTTTAGAATTATTGTTTGCGTAGTTCACACTCTGTTGCACCAATGCTTTAAGAAACATAATGTTTTATGGAACGTGACATGAATTGGCTTAGATGTTTTCTCGTTGAATCTTACAATTTGCTAGTGACCAACTAAATACGATTTAATCCAGGTGAGGAGCTCCCTCTCAATTCCCATTTTTTATAATTTAAAAATCAGCATTGGGATATCAATTCTGTCAAACGCTTTGCTGAAGTATGTATATAGAGCTTCTACTTGGTTACCTCTGTCCATTGCATTTAATACGAAGTCCACAAATTCCAAAAGGTTTGTGGTGGTTAAACGGCCTTTAAAAAAGCCGTATTGTGCACTAGTTATTCTTTGTTTTATTTGGCCAAAAATGTTTTTATTTATAATTGATTCGAAGTTATTAACGCCAACAGTAGTTGAAAAGTCCGGAAAATAAGAAACATATTCATAATCACGATCATTATCTGAAAATTTCGTGTATGTTTTTTGAAAAAAATTGGCGGAAAGATTGCATATATCATCAGAATTATTACCTTCCTTTTCATCCAATGTCATTTTTGATGGAAAGCTGCACGATTTCATTTTAGTTTTGACGTAATTGAAGAAGTTTCCAGCATAAATTGAACAGCAACGTAGAGATCAAATTGGTAATGATTTATAAAACGCCAGAGGTATTCTGAGTAAAACGCATAATGCGAATCCATTTTTATGTATCTTATTTAGCCTAGTACTAGTGCCTTAAGAAGGGGGCCACGGAGAAAACAAAAGTCCGTTGCGCCATTGCTTCGGTTAGCGCTGTAAGGGCTTCATACTGCGGAGGTTTTGATTTGATAACATACTGGTTGTTTTGGCCACAAATGTTTAGGAAAATTCTAGAAATTGTTCAAGGTTTTTCCTGAAATTAGGAGAAAGACAAGTATGATATGAGATAAATAAGAAAACATCAATTATGATGCTTGGAAAATGTTGACGGAACTTTTGGAAACTAATCATAATTTCAAGAAGAAAGGATAAAGGGACTTGGTAGATACTCAAGGATTATTAAAGCGATTTCCCCACCTCGGGTTTTTGTTGTGTAGCAAATGCCACCTTCGCCACCTGTAAAGTACGGTGCTGTTCGATAAAGTGCAAATGTTTTGCAACGTACCATATAAACTAGATAATACACTATTTGAAACAACGTCATCAACGTCGGGGGCGGACGCATCGTTATTTTAGGCAGATTTATATTTTAAGGGCGCTGGTCAATATTGGGTGCGACTACTTAGCTCAAATTTTAGGAATACAGCACTGACGATAACGTAATTCTGTTCACAGCAAAAATTCGATTTTTATTTGGTATTCATGTTCTCTATAGTTTTCCGCTACAGTTAAACGTAGCAAATTGTAATTGGAATTCAAAGTGTATTTTAATGAAAGCTCATTGAAATTTAAGAGCATAATCCCATGATGATTCTGAGCTGAACTCATGGGAACACCAAAGGCAATTTTGAGATAATTATTTGAATAATTTAGAAGAATAATTGGGGGGTGGAGTATGCTAAATGGAGGATTACAATTAAATCTGGGAATGCTTTTGTTTAACTTCGAAATGACTGCAAAAATTATCAAAATTATTATTGAAGCTATTGGACATGAACCGTGACTTTATACGTGTTATGTCGCATTTCTTCCGAATCGGGCTCACAGGCAGCAATTTGTGCGCTTGTGGTAGTGGCTATCACGATATCGACCACGTGCTTTGGTCATGCCACCTCAATTGTGTTGTTGGATCCGAGCTATCCGCATCCCTCAGGGCCGAGGAAAACAACCTTTGCGGCCCGTTAGAGACATCTTGGCGAGCCGAGATCTCGACTAGGGTTTTTGATCTAATTTCCGTCGTACTAAGCACAACCTGAGCGTTACCTCTCTTTACTGAACGAGTTTAAACAAAAAACGGAATATTTCTTTCAAAGATGACTTCTAAATTTATTCACCTTTCCATACGTACCGTTAGATTTGAAAAAGAGTCACAAATTGTTGATATATTGTTTAAAATATAATACTGCTTCTTGATTCTAAATTCGTTCTACGAGTTTCAATTCCGTCCTAACGCATTGAAACGCCATTAGATTTTCTTCGTCCTACGTAGAAAAAGGGGATTCGCTAGGAGCGCTTCTTTTGTTTTGAGGACAATGAGCGTAAATATTCATGTAATGCGCTCTAACAGGATTCATGTTGAAGCTAATGAACTAACGCATAGGAACAAACCAATTACTGATTTGTGCACGATGAAATCTTTGATGTTATTGATCTTTTCTGTTAGATAGAATGGAAATGAGCGATTAAAGGGCGAACACGAAATTATTGCGACACATTCAACAGGGCATTTACCATTAGGTAAAAATCAACCAAATTTTGCACACTTTCTCATTGATGTGTATTGTGTACATGCTGTCAAACTCGAAGTCGTGTTTTTCGATTCAACGAAAATGGAGGTGAACCAACGCGAATTGAGAGAACAAATTCTTTCCAAACACCTGGAATTTCCTGACCTGTCGCACCGGCAGTTGGGAAAAATGTTGAACATTCACCATTCAACCGTCTCCAGAGTGTTGAAGCGGTTCCAGGAGCGGTTGACGTTGGACCACGGCAAAGGAGCTGGATGAAAACGGGGACCGGAGAACAAAAAGGCGGAGGGAAAGGTGAAGCGGATGATTAAAGCAAATCCCAACGTCTCAAGCCGTGATTTGGCTAAAAAGATCGGCATGTCGCAGAGCTACGTCCAGAATGCAAAGAAGAGAGCTGGACTACATACATACAAGGTACAGAACTTCCCAAACCGCGATGAGCGGCAACAATCGATGGCTAAAACTCGGGCACGGAAGCTCTACGAGAAGATGCTGACAAAATATGGCTGCTGTGTGATGGACGACGAAACGTATATAAAAGCCGATTTTAAGCAAATTCCGGGGTTGGAGTTTTTCACCGGCAAGAGCAAGTTCGATGTGGACGACAAATTTAAGAAGAAGAAAATGTCTAAGTTCGCCTCCAAATATCTCATTTGGCAGGCCATCTGCTCTTGCGGACTGAGGAGTGAGCCTTTCGTGACAAAGGGCACAGTAAATGGCGAGATCTACAAATCTGAGTGCCTCGAGAAGCGCTTTTTGTCGTTCTTGCAGCAGCACGACGAAGCTCCGCTATTTTGGCCAGATTTGGCATCATGCCACTATTCTAAAAGTTTCTTGGAGTGGTATGAGGCCAATTCTGTCCATTTTGTTCCAAAGGACATGAATCCGCCAAACTGTCCGGAGCTGCGCCTGGTGGAGCAGTACTGGGCAATAATGAAGCGGGAACTTCGGAAGAGCAAGAAGACAGTCAAAGACGATAAGGACATGTTAAGAAAATGGGAAAAAAAAAACTGAGAAACTGGTACCGGATGACACTGTAAAGACTTTGATGGAGGGAATCAAGCGAAAATGCGTTCAATTTTACACTCAAGGCTCCATCGATTAACTTTTGTTTTGATTTTTGAAGTAAATATATGTATAAAACTACCCTAAAATTTTGGTTTGATTCTAAACATTATAAGAAAATTGGCATGACATTTTCGGTGTCGCAATAATTTCGTGTTCGCCCTTTACGACGAAGTAGCGCTCTACCCTGTTTAAATTAAATTTATGTGTTTTTAAAACGGATCAATCTAAGGATTTAGTAGTTACCCGAGCAGAGAATGAAAACAAAATGAAAACTAAATGTTTCCATTAACGGCGCCGGTGGTGTAGTGGTAAGCGTGATTACCTCTCACCCCAACAGGCCTGGGTTCAATCCCAGTCGGCGCCGCCGGGATGTTCTGAGGCATAACATCTCTGATCACGCCTTCCTTCGGATGGGAAGTAAAGCCGTTGGTCCCCGGTTCATGAGTTGATTGATGGGTCGATAGGTAGGGTCCAGGTGTGGGAGCTGCCTTCCTGGCACGTCGGTAGCATTGGTGCTCAGCACGGAAAACAAGATCGACGGAAAAAACAAACCAAAGGAAAAAAAAAATAAATGTTTCCATTTTCCATCCAATCTTATAATATAACAACTAAAACTATGGAAGGAAAACGAAAAAAAAAAAAAAAAAAAACTAAATTAGTTATTATTTTGATAGCATGATATCAAATTTGGTATTCTGAAAGTTTTGAAATCTGTTGGTTGATATCAAAATTCAAAATCAAAAAAGTTATCAATTAGTTTTCATTCATTCAAAATAAAAACTAACCTATATTTCAATCAGTTCTATCGATATCTATCTTATATCGATTAGTAAATTAAATTCGCACGTAGATTAATATCAATGAATGTTGCAAAATTTAACTGTTTAAATCATAATTCAAGCTGAACATTGCATTAGGTCCTAAGAAACATTGACAGATTCTCGACTTTCTCTTTGTATCTCCACGGCCATGTAAAGACATTCCCAGGTAATTTCACACACAGATCTGTAAAAGAAGCTTTTATCTAGCATCGAATACGACAAACACAACAAGAAACGGTTTTGTGCTCTAATAACATGAACGAATGAGAATGTCGACGAAAAGAATCGATCAATGTTACTTAGGACCTAATGCAATGTTCAGCTTGAATTGTCTTTGTGATGTTCATAAAGAAAATAGCAAGCATGCTGATTGACTCGAAAGGAGAATAAAATGGATTTCAGTGATAAATGGGGATGCTCTTTTAAAAAATATCAAATTTTGTTTTTATTTATATTTTTTTAGAAATATCAAAATAATATCAAAATATGAATTCAACTGAAATTACAAAATAGTATATCAAAATATGTTATAAATATGATTTCAAAAACATAATTTGATATCATTTTGATATAATTTTGATATCCTACTTTGCTCGGGTAGTGTCATCTT